GGCTGTCGGCCGGCCACCAAGACCGAGTGCACAGGGCTCTGACCTATGAATTGACAGCCAGTGCTCTGTCTCCCCTCTGGCTGCCAATTCCATAGGTCACAGGTATGTTCGCCTCAATGCCAGCCGCCAGGACCTGCAGGGGCGGCGCGGGGTGGGGTTGCCCCAGTTCCTCCCTGAGGCCTCTTCTCTCCATCTGTCCCCCGCTTTTCTGAGCTGAGCCCACACTGCCTGCCCTGGGGGTCTCTGCTCCGGCCCAGCCCTCCACCTGGGACACCATTTCTAGCTTTTTTGCCAGGCTCATCTTACTGACCATTTCAATCCCCGCCCCAGCCTTTTTTCTCTTGATGCTGGGATTGAAGTACAGCCCCAGCCAGGAAGACTTCTCAACCCTGGGTGCCCACCTGGACGCCCTGAGCCCTGCCCTGCCCTTGAGTGCTGTGCCCACCTCGGCCTTTGGCAGGTCTGTGTTTGTTTCCATCCTCCCGTCGCCTGTGAGCACCTAGAATCCTACTGGCGCCCTTGTGAGGTAACCTGTAAGCCTACTGAGGAGGTGCAGACACAGTCCTCTGGGGACACGTGCCAGCCAAAGTCCTGAGCGAGCTGGATCTTCTGTTTCTGAGGACCCCATGCAGCCTCTCCTCTGGTCCCAATACCATCCCTTGCCCCATAAGTGGCTTTGATCCCACTGTCCTTGCTGCTCAGAATTCCTGGGACCCCATCTGCCCCTGCTGAGCCTCAGCCCAGACACCCTCAAGGACCTTCCATGATCCTGCAGGGCCTGCCCTGCCACCCACACCCAGCTTGGTGAGCCTCTCCCTCCTCCCTTATCTCCTTCCAGGCCGAGCTCAGGAGCTCTGTGTAGTTATCTTATCCTTGTGCTGGCCTCAGCCTCCTGGAGAGCAAAGTCCACAATTTACTCATCCTCGCAGGCCTGTTCCCCAGCCACCAGCCTAGTTGGTGTTCAAGACACACTGGTGGAATGACAGAGCGCCGGATTCTGGCCTTCTTGGGATTGTCAGGCCCCAGACCTCAAGTGCTGGCCCAGGAAGGTAGTGGCAGGCAGTCCCTGGGGCCCCTCCTCTGTCTGCCTCTACAGAGCTCTCTGGTTCAAAAGGAGACCAGGCCTCAACTCAGGAGCAAAACTGGCCCTCTGGTGCCTTGCTCCACTCAGCCGTGGCCTTTTCCTGGAAGGCCCAGGTCTGTGCACATTCTCCCTAGCTTGGGCCTCCCTGCACCTGCCCGCTCAGTCTCTCAAACCTGCTAAGATCTACTCAAAGGTCACTCCCTCCAGGATGCCTGCCTGTGCAGGAATTGGCTTCCCCTCTTACCCAACCCAGGGTCTCCCAGGATGCTCTGCAGCTTCTGCTAGCATCCCTTTCATACCCATCACCAGCACCTGGCTATTCCCCCCACCAGCCCCAGAAGTGGTGGTCACTGACCGTTTCCTGTAGTCTGACCGACTGGCATAGAGGAGGAGCTTAATAAATGCACGCTGAAGAACCAACCACAAGCATGAATGGAGATGCTTGGGGAAGGGCATCACGCACATGTGGAGTGGTCAGCTCAATGTTGGTAGGTAGGAGGCCCTCAGTAGGTGCCAGTCTTTTTCTTTTCTACCATCATTGCTATCACCATCACTATCACCATTGTCACTACCACCTCCACGCTCCGAGATACATGCAAATGAATAAAGTTCCAATTGCAGCTGAAGGAGTCAATGGGGAAGGAGAGGTCAGAGTTGGGTGGTCTTAATCAAAGAAAAACTCCTGACAGAAGCGAATAGGAATTTAGCCCTTGATGCAGTGAAGCCCAGGAACAGGTCACCAGCATAAAGATGCAGAAAGGGAAACGCAGGCACTGATGGTGGGGACAGCTTGCTCTTCTACAAGACTCGCTCCCTGAGGCCGCCGCCAGGGGGCGCCCTGGGCACCACAATGGGCATGGGCGGGGCTGCTTGCGCTCCAGGGCGGTGGGGCCTCCTCTCCCAACTCCACTGCTTCCCAAGCCTGCCCCAGAAGCCCGGTGTCACAACAAGCGACTAGGAGCTGAGCCCGGCCCGACTAAAGGTCTCGCCTGGGGACTGGTGCGCGTGAGATGGAGAGATTGGTAG